TCTGAAAACCCATTGCTTCATTGATTATGTATCTTTTGAACTTCGCATAGTTATTGGTGCCTTCTTGAAAGCAGAAAATTTTCCTAGCAAAGGAATCACTGAAGTTTACCAGGCTGTAGGGACTGGAGATCACCTTTTAAGTCATTCCAATTCTGACCAGATCCATGTACACAATTTAAACCTCTGCTTCTAGGGCCAGGGACTAAAATTTTAAGTGGTAATGAGTAGGTTTTGGTCTCTTACTCTTGGAGGTATTTGACCTAAGAAATGAAAAGAGAATGATTCTCAGAAGACAACTACTCCTTTGCTTCTGTAAATTAAACCATTTAAAGATAAAAACCTTAAAATGAAGCCACCTAAAACCAAGGCTTTTGAAAATGTTACCCCAAATCACCTGTGATTTGCATGGCTCCTCCTGTTTGTACACAGGCTCAAATGTTTTCAGAAGGAAACAAAGGGTAAAATGAGGATGGAGCAGGGATTTTTCCACGTGAGGCTATTTCTTCTTTGTAGCAACTAGGGGAGTGAAAAAGTTCTCTGAGAAGACCTATGACATTTCAGAGAAAGAGGCAGTTTCCCAGAAATTCTGCGAATAGCCTGACCTTCACAGTGCTAGCATTTCTACATCACTCTACACACAACGGCCCCAAAGCGCAATGCAAACACTCGTCCGTGCTCCACTCTGACCTCCTCGGCCTCGTCACAACGGCCCTGGAGGGTCAGTGCTCAGCAGCTGGGTTACGCACTGCGCAGCAAGCCCTGTGTGTCCACGCTGACCCTAAATCCACCCATTCCTGTTAGGAGCACTTCTAGAGAGATACCGTATCCCATAGCTGATAACAAACCCCAAATGAACTGTGGGGGACCTTGCCTGTTTCTCTAGGTACCCCGTCAGCGTCCTTGCAAGACTGATGCAAATGCAAATGATCCCTAGATTCCAACCTGTATCCAACCATGTAACCAAGTTTCAAAAAAGGAACAGTATTTGGGGTGCTGCTCAGCCAAGAATCTGAATTAACCCCATGTTGTATACACAACCTTAGTGACAGAGCTATATACTTCTGACCCCTGTGCAGTCCTTTGCTCTAGCTGGGAACAAAAGCACAAAACCTTAAACTGAGCAGGTGGTAGAAGACACAGCATAATGCATTTTTATGGACCTTCCATATGTCCTTTCCAATAGGCAGTGAGATAAATTTTCCCTTCACTTACTTTCATGCAGTCCCACTCAAATCTCGTGGTTTAGTACCATAGTAAAATTCATCTGTGAGAATCATGCTGTCCATGATGCATCCATTTTTTTAAAATTAAAACAAACAAACAAAAAAATCTCAAAGGCCTGTCCAGGTATCACAAATTTGTGCCAATTCTCATCCCTTATTTAACTCAACCATATATACCCTGAGTCACCTTGGCAAACTACCTATGGATTTCTATCCCTAACAGCTTCTTCCTTTATCTCAGCTTCTCCAGTCCTAAAATAATGGTAGTGACACATACCTGACTCCTAAATTGTGCCATGAAGCTTAATTCATTCAGTGCTCTTCAATACCAGAAGAGACTTACAGATGAAGGGTGCCACAGGGAAATACTGACCCGCGTGTCTGGGTATTTCTGTGTGGAACAGAGACTTTTAATATTATTCCAAAATGAACATACATGCAAGATGTGTTCAGGCTTCTGTATTTCTAATAACATTCTCTCAGGAATGTCAAAGCTTAAAATCTAAGAAATAATTGCCCTGTACGTCCATGTGGATGGCTTGCTTTGCAGATGGAACATAAAAAACTTACTTATGTTTTCTTGTAAGCACAGGGTTGACACTGGTTTATTTCTTTCAAAAATACTTACAAAAGCCAGGATTTCCCTGTATGTATGTGACCTTGATTCCTAGATGGCACATGGACTACTTAGAGATCATGTTACTAAGTTATTTGCAGTTAAAGGGGAAAAAAAGGCTAAAATTAATGGGTCACTGGGTATTTTCTTCTGAGAACTTAAGTGCTTAACAGTAAGAAAAAAAACAGTTGACAGCCAGGTGGCTTGAGGGGATATTTTGTTGAACACTGATTAAAAATAATTTCTTCTAAATGAGACCTGACCACAAAATGGGACCATTAACGAGCAGGGACATTCTCACCAGAAAGGAAACTACGCTTGATCAACTTCTGCACCGCCCACAAACCCCAGGTCTTTTTCTCTCTCACACACACTCTCTCTCTCTCTCTCGCCCCCCCCTCCCCCCTTTTTCTCCTCTCCCCTTTTCTTGTTCTTAATAGCAGGGTAAATAAGCAGCAAGTGATGCTGAAATGTTTTCGGCCAAAAACAGAGGCCAAACTCCTCTGAGAAAACATTTGGCCTCTGTGGTTTTGTAATATGTTCCAGAACACTGAGTTCACTGAAGAACATTGTGAAAAGCTCCCATCGGCTGGAGTGATGCTGGGGAATGTTACTGTATCCCAACTTCCAATTGGTCCATTTCCTGCAGGCCTTGTTAAAAAAAAAGAAAAAAAAATAGTGCTATGTGGGAGTTAAAACAAGTTCTCATGGGAAAAATGAATGGCAAGAAATTCTAGCTTTAAAAGAAACAGCTAATCTGCTAGTTTGATTGTTCTTCAAAACTTACAATGAACCAATAATCCTAATTAAAAACACTTGGCCTAGTTCTCTAAAGCATCATAGCTTTTTCTATGCTTCGTTTGTACACACCATAGACTATTAGTTTTTTTCTAGTGCTCACTAACAAAGTGCTGACTTTGTTGGGATGGCTGAGCTAATTTCGTGAACTCAGTGTGAAACCTTAGCTAAACAAAATTGTGGTAATTTTCCTTAATTTGTAAAAGTGATTGGAGTGCAAACAAAATTTTCCTCTTGGGTCAATCCTATAATTTTCAATTAACTAAAACTAATCGGCAGGCGTGTACTGAACCTGCATTTTGTTTAAAGGGCTGGAAGGCACTTCTGAAGGTCAGGATGCATTAATTGTTTTTATTTTAGTTTCATTTAGTCCTTTTTAAAAAGCCACATTTAAGTTCAGGCTGCCTCTAAAAGGAAAATGCAAATCGTCTGAGGTACGATTTCAGTCACAATAGCTTTTCTGTATCTACCGTATCTCCATAAAAGCTGCATAAGTAAGAGAATCGTCCACGGATGGGATCACCTTTGGTTTTATCATTGTTTAGTATTTCATAACTTTCATTTATTGAATGAAAAATAACGTGTGTTAAACGCTAACCTGAAAATGCATATATGGAAACACTCGCCCTACTGGGACGCCTTATTTCCACATTCAGCCATCTGCTTCTGGGCAGGCAGGCTAAACTGTCGCCCTCCTTTTTACTGCAAAAGCTAATTAATGATGATCTGAAAAGCAAAACCAAAATGGGTCCAGGCCATTTTTACATTTAAATCGCAAAACGAAGTCCCCAAAAATTTCTTTGCAAAGTCAAGGGGGGCAGGTTTCCTCCCTTTCTTCTTCTCCTGCACGCGTACTTGCCCTTTCACCAGCCCAAGACACAGCCACCCCAGTGGCCTGACAACAAGCAGGACAGCACAACTTACTGCGAGCGAGTGAGAGGGGAAAGGATTCGCGGTCAAACTGTCCAGAGCTCTGGCGACACTTTCATGTGGTATGCACTGGCAATTCACACCAGCTGGCAATGTCAGGCTTTGCTTTTTCTTTTTCTTTTGTTCCAACACGCTCAAACCCTAAATAACCTTTTTGATATGCTGCATTATGGTCCCATATATGAATTTCTCTCACATTGTTGAAATCCTAACGCTCACAACAAACACGCACAGCCTCCACGAGCACCTGCTGCCCAGCCAGCAAGGCGATACACGAACAGTTTAAGACCCAGTTTAAAGAAACCCAGTGCACAATCCCAACTGGGGGAGAGGGTATTTGAAAAAGACAACAAAGCTTTGTAAGGCACCTTTGTTCAACTTGCTCAGTGTTAAGAAAAATCAAATGAGAGCTTTGCTACGCAGCCAGAGCGCAGAAGTCTCTCCTCTGCCTCAAGTCCCTGTGTGTACGTTCACAGTTGGAGCAATATATGTGCCCCATGTCATCCAGAATGCCCCATAGCCACAAGTATTTATGATATACCTTATTCTTAAAGTTTCAGGGGCAATCAAGAATGGGGAAAGGAATTGTACTGGGTTGTGATGAACCACAGTTCAGGCAAACAGTTACAGTAGTCCAGTCTGCGTATGCCAAACAACAAGCACGTAAAAGGACAAGCACATCAAAGCCTAGACCAAGCCATTAATTCTTGTAGTACACATACCTTCCAAGGAATTGATAACACTCATTCTTTTTAAAAAGTTAGGCTGCTACTTAGTTTATTTCCCAGGCCATTCTTATCACTACTGAGAGGGGTTTAACACTGACAGCATCTGCAATGTCCTAGCATGGGTTTTTGTTAATAATTCTTCAGGCCAAACCACTCAACTTCATGGCCTTAGTGTGGGATACCACCCCAAACCACATTGCAAGTCACTATGTCTGCAGCATCGGCTGGGGTGAAAGCTGCTTCGCCTCCCTGGAAGCCAGAGACAAGTATGTTACAGCAAGCCGGGCAAGCAAACGGGCTGCTGCTTTGAACATTTGCAACACTTGCCGGACAACATGAGATGGAGATATTTAGCAAGACACTTCTTGGAAGGCAGGTTCGTGATTGTACTAGTATGTCTGGCTCTTTATGCTTGCACTCTTCCTCTGTTTGTTTAAATACTGGAATATCTGCTTCAATCCTTCCTCCCCCCTCCTGGGTAAAGAGATGTCCCATTGCGAGGACAAACAAGCAACCAAAAATCCCACACTGGTATGTTTTCAGATTCATCTCTATGGTCATCCTTTTCTGAAATCCAACCTTAAACTGGTACCTTCAATGATAAAATACAGTACAGCTTTAACGATGAAAGCAGAAGCCCTAGCAAGTGTGATATATTGCCTCCCCTATTTCTCCACATTGTATCTAGTACTAAAGCATCCTTACCTGTGTAAATGAATCTTCCAGGCGTTCCCTTGCAAAACTGCTTAGACTTGTAGGACAATGTGACTTCTACAACCCCTGGGATATGTCGGGGAGGCGTCTGTACGCGGATGGCATGAGGAGTAATCAGCTAGAGGAAAACATTGAGAAGGGAGAAGAAAGGGGAAAAAAAGCACTGTTAGATGCTGAACACTTCTTTAATAACACTTTCCTCTCAGATCACAGTAAACAAGCTTTGAAACATGTAATTAACCTGTCAATGTTTGAATACAATCTTGCTGTAACCCACACAAAAGCCAGTGACTACAATATTTACAAGCATTCTCCTGCTCAACCGTAACAACATTATTTCTGTTTTCATACATGGCAGGCACTTGCTTCTTAGTATAAGCATTAGTCCTGGTTTAATGCAATAGCTGTAGCTTGCAGCAGCAGGATGCCTACATCTGCTCAGGTGAGCGCCGGGGTCATGACAGTGTCCAACAAATCTGATTGATAAATGACACGCAGTTACACGTGTGAGCATGGCACAGCACCAGCCCGGGCTGAGATTCCCTGCACAGTCCAAGCCCAGGCAGGTTTTTAAACGCCCTGGTGCCCAGCTGACATCTGTACGCTGCGAACGCACCATGTGCTGCTGTTTTAATTTTCTATTCATTTTGTGGAGGTATAACTGATTACTGCAGACATGCAAAGTTTGGCTTCTGAAGGATGGTGGATCTTTCCTTGTAAATGATCAGAGCGCTCAAAAGAGAGAAACCAAATAGAACCAGCTAACGATGGCTTCCAGTCTGCCCTCGCTGCAATGGCTGACACACATCTGAGGGGGGTCCTGCAGATGGGGATTTACACAGCAATAAGCAGACAAACTTAACTTTCTTGCTAATGGAGCTGGGGATCCTGGTCCTCTTAACACAAAACATTGGGGTGGGTCAGCGCTGCAGCTTCCAGGCTCTAGACCATTTTTGCCCTTTCAGAATTCTGGACTGGATTTAAAAAATAGTCCCTGAAATTGATATTAGAGCCATCTAGGAGTTCACCAGGTTAACTCAAATCTCTGCCACACTCAGAAACTATAGCATTGTCCTCCCCATCTCTGAAATGTCCTCTTCTCACTCATTGTGCTCCCTCAGACAAGAATAGCAAAAAGAGGTACATGGAAAAGGTGACATGATTGTGTCCAGCAACCAAGACACAGCTCTGTCACACAGATAATCCTTCTCTAACTGATTGTGGCACGTTAACACACTCCTAGAGAGGCAAACAAGACCAAGACCAGCCTTGACAGGGAGCAAAGCCATGGGCACCCTATGCGGACAGTCAACTGCTCTGTGTTGTCGGTTGACTCATGTCCTGGATCAGGGAATACATTTCAATAGGTTGTTTGGCTTTGGTTTTTTTTTTTAAATAAAAAGATAATTTTATTCTTATTTTTACTAGGAACCAAATATTTCAAAATTGTAGTAAGGTCCTACCAAAAAAATCAGACTTTTAACCAGTTCTTTATTTTGGGCACAGGACTAAAAAAGCATGTAAGGAGAGTGTCTGTCTGAGAGCCATCTGCGTTGCTGAGGGAAATGGCAATCACAGTAGGAAGTTCTCCATATTTAAAATAAGAACATTAATATTAAATCAAGTTGAAGATTAAAACCAAAACTACTAGCATCAAATGCTTCCAAAGTTATTCAGACCCACAGAACTCAGAAGTCATATGTCATCTTAGAAATGATCATGCAGGAATTGGTGCCTTCTTGTTTGAGCTCCAAAGAACATGTTGCTCTGCTTTGAAATCATGTGACTTAGAAACTTACTTATTTTATAAAGAAACCTGCGTTTTTTTCTAAATCACTCACTCTATCAACTGGATTAAGAAAAAAAAAAAACAAAAAACAAAAAAACCAAAAATAACAAACCCAAACCTCAAACTTCCAAGCATTCCTTTTACTTAAATTGAGTTATTTTACAGTTGGGCTGCCCAAAGCCGAAAAGTCTAGGCCAGTTCTCAACATGCCCTCAATGGTCAGTGGAGGCAGAAAGCACTGCCAAACAGCAATTTATTTCCAGTGCTTTAGACACCTCTCATGTTGGGATGAGCTGCTTTCTGGAAGCATCTACCTTTATCCAGTGAACCGAGATGACAAGTTTAGACTAGATGCTTTAACTGTAGGCAGCCAAACACAGCTGAGATAAATCCCATCCTCAAGTGGTTATAGTTAACTGGCCGAACCAGCAAGATGAGAAAAGTTTCATGACATTTTTAGGGAGAAAATATTTGTAGAAACAGCCAAGGATTTTAATAGTAAAGGTTAACATGCTAGTCTTACTACATCAGCATGAGCCTTGCACCCCTCAACCCCCATTCTGGCATGAGCTATATAGGAAGCTTCTGGTTGTATCTTTGAATTTCCCAGCATTTACTGGTCTGTCACCACTTTAATGTTCTTTAAATATAATTTGTGGCATTTTCCAATACTCATCTTCCTTGGTTCCCAAGAAATGTCTGACCTATTTATGGTCCATTGTTACAGAGAGCTGGGGAGAGTTAAGCAAGTTTCCTGGTTTGTTCTCCACAAACAGTTTGGTTTTCCTTTGTGCTCTGAAGTAAATAAGTTTAACTGTGTTTAAAACCACAAATATACAATAATGTCGCCCACACATTCCCAAAGGGTGAACATTATGTCTGAAGTCCTATGGTTTAGGATACTCAGGATATATTTTACTCCACTATTCTCTAAAACTAAAGCTTGGGAGGTACACCAGGAGAATACACGTGCCTTTTCCTTTTGCTTTTTCTCCCTAGCATCTGCCACTGAACACCATCAGGGGTATAGTGCTGAGCTAAAAGGACCTTTGCTCTGAGTCAGCCTTCAGTTCTCATGCACGCAGAAAGGAACTGTCTAGCTTGGTTACCTACCAGCAGACCCTTATATTGCTGTCACATCAGGGAATTGTCTCTAAGGGACAAACAATGTCACTGCACTTCAAAATCTGCCCTCTGAACCCCACCTTTGATCTCGAACTCTGATTCCCCAGTGCTGCCATGATCTGCGTTATGGACTGGGACCAGCTCTCTGAATTGCCCTAACTCTATTTTGCAATCCGAGTGACACAACGGGTGCTGTATGGGTCTGGGTACCCCAGGACCACCCATGGTAAGACTAATCTTCCCCTGATTTCAGTAACTCCAGGATTATGGGATGTTTTCCTGCCTACACTGTCAACCTGTAGCCTGACCTTGGGACTCCACCCCACCTTTTCCTAGCATGTTTTCTCCTCTCACACTGACACAGCCTGTACCTTCTTCAAGGGACAATCTGTCTCATATTTGCACATAAAGCAGCTGGAAAAGGTGAGCTCTTAGCACCAGGAGGATTTTGAAGTAAAGACACCACTTGTGGAAACCTCTGAGCCTCAAACTGTTGGAGGCTGGTAGAGTGTTTTGGGGAAGCGTCACTACATGTTCATCCTGTTGTTTTTAGAGATCTGTCATTGCCCAGCGCCAAACAAAAGAGACTGAGCTAGGTAGACCTCCATGTCTGACCCCATATGGCCATTTCTACATTCTGACCTCAGGTGGGAACTCTGGGGGCATTAACAGACATCATGAGAAACATAGCAATGGCATGCCAAGAACTAAGAATTTGTAAATATGAGTTACGTACATTTCTGAACACGTTTTTTAAATGTAAATCTTGAACAAGGCACTAAAACCTTTGGTTTGGAGATGAACCCACCAGCCAAAATACCAGATCCAGATTCCTCTTCTCTTCCAGCATTTGGCTAATTGAGATCTGGAGCTGGACATAAAACTGGTAACCGGACCCTTTCTCCCAAGGGATTTTCAAGTGAATTGGCCTGATCCTTGGCAACTGCACTAGCGGTTTGATACAAACTGTTACATGTCAGTTGGGACATGCTGTGGATTGCATTAAAACCTGAATTAGAGACCTTCAGAATGGAGGGAGGTGCGTGTCCTTCAAAATCCAAAACACATTTGGTTTGCGTGTGTACAACAAGCCTCTATCTGTGGCTTGTTAATATATTCTAGACATTCTTGTGTGATACAGCATCATGTCACACTCTTCAGAGTGCCAGGTTACTTTCTTTTTTTAAAAGTGACATTTTATAAGGAGATGTCATTAATCTGAGTCACTAGTTTATTTTTGCATGCTTGAGCTCTGGTTTGTGGTTAGGGAAATGGTGACAATCAGTCATAAATTTAACTTGGACTCTGTGTGAAGAGGACCATTAGAACAGGAATGAAGAAAAATCCCACCACCTGAAGGTAATGACAGCTTTCAGTGAGAACAGGACCCTTAAGATACCTATATTTTTAAAAATTACGAGTGACTTTGCATGCCTCAATTCTGGGCATCCAAATGCTGCTTAATAAGCCTTGGTTTTCAAAAAGAGGGTGCCTACTCATTTTTTAAAAATGAGTCAAACCTCCAAAATAAGCACTCAAAACCAGAAACTTCCAAAATCAATAATAAACATAAAAAGCAAAATAAAAAACTGTGTCACAGAATTTGATTCAGCAGCATTAAAAGAAAACAACACAAAAATGCCAAACTAAAAAAATCATCCTCTGGTTTTGGGCTGTATAAAGGTAAAAGAACTGATGTTTCAGTGCTTCGTCTTTTCTTAATATAAAAGAAAAAGGAGTTGTTTCCAGCTGACTCTGTACAGCTGGAGGAATGTTCTTGGCAGGAAAATGTTTGAAGAAATAGTTCATTTTAAGCAAATATTGTGGAATATTTATAAGAAACTAATTTTGTCTTCACAATTGTGTATTTGCCCTGAAACTTGACTCTCAGAGTTTCAGCCCCCCAATAAGAAATAACAGAGGATTTTTATCAGCAGCTCAGATTTTGAATATTTGCAACAACACACAGACCCGGGACTCTGGGTAAAAAAACTGCAAATAACGACGTCTGTTTGTGGACTGGACAAACAGAAAGGCAGAGCCTGTCTGGCAAACAGACTCTTTGTGGGGAGTTGTCTGTCCAAATTCAGAATGTGCACATGATATATCAATGCCATTTGCTTGTCGGTTATGAAAGTCCCTTGGAAAAAAAAAAAGGCATTAGATGGCCCATTTTGCTGTATTCTAAAAATATCAAGGGCTTTTAAAGTCATTTTTATAAAGTACTATGGGAGTTAAGGATTAATTGAACCTACTGGCTTAGGGTATCTGCATTTCTGCACAAAATTAATGCGACAAATTAAGTTTTTATTTAGTTCTCCCTGGCTGAGAAAGGTTGTAATTATGTTAGAGTGTTTACAGCTAAAATATATGTTTAAATAATAAATATGTGTTTCAGAAACCATTTTAAACCTCCTTTTTTAACACAGTCAACTCCATTTCAAGCATATAAATATTTCAATTACAAAACTTGAATACATGTAAAATAAATTAAAAATATATTATTTACATTTCAAATTATTTATAACATATGCTGCTTGACAGCAACAAATTCACCCTTAAAATGAACAATATTTTTTTTGGCTTTTAACTCTGCTTCTGAACTGTGGTAGGATTTACATTTTAGATATCCATGCATCTCAGGTACTTACATGGATTTTGCTATAATAAAATCTGAGTAATATAGGACCTTTACGATAATTATCTTCACAGCACCTCTCCAAAGAAGGTGACTAATCTTATTACTACGGTAGAGAAAGGGAATTGAACTTTAAGCAGATTATGTGATTTGCCCAAGGTCCCATGCAAAGTCTGTGGCAAAATGATGCTTAGTTTAAATATTAGACTTCATCCCCCAAACCACCTGCAATTGGAACTGAAAGTGAAGCTAGAAAAATCCATGTGAAAATGCTCTGCAAGACTCACTCTTTTTCTTTATTTTCCGCCTATCGCATTTTGCTTTGGATTTTCTACAGCTCAGCTAAAATCAGGGTTTCTTTGGATCTATGAAACAACAGGACGAACTTGAAAATTCTTTTTGAATTCAATGAAAAAATAACCCGGCCAGGTTTGCTCAAAACTGGGCCTGAATGGCAACTCGGGATGAATCTGCTCCAGGTTTGAAGATCAACAGTTCAATTCTACACTCCATTAAAGTAAAACAAAAATATTCTTCCTGGGTACTGAAAATGCATGAGACATTTTTAGAAATGAGAAGGCAAATGAATGAATTTATTTTGTACTTCCTATGTGGCTAGTACGTGTAATTTGATTTATTTATAGATCACTATTATTTAGGGATCACTCAGACAGCTTATGTATTTCTGCATTTTTTATCATGTCCGTCTGCTTCTTCTAGAAATAATTTCTTTTCCCCTATAGGATTTTCTATTGCTCTCATAGCTTATGAAACTGAGAAGCAATTCTGTAAGGGAGAGACAGTGAAACAGTTTTCACTCAAAGCCAACTTGCAGCCCGTTATAGCATTCACAACAGACAGACTGACTTTCGTCTGGACCCCCTCTAACTTTATTAATTTTATGATATGGTTGCAACCATCAGCAACAATGTTTTGACCAGCACACACTCTCCTGAGATTAGAAATTGCCAATTAATGGCTTCCACTAATAAATAAAATCAAGTTTTATAATGAAAGATCCAATTCTGCAGTACCAAAATCAGAGCACTTTCCTCCCAGCCTCTTCACCTTTCCCTGTTAAATGTCTGTAGCCATAATGGCTTCAATCCTAAGATACAAAATGCTTACACTGGACCCAGGGGGCACTTTCATGATCACATAAGGGCTTCAGAATAGGGCTCATTTAATATATCGCCTTTTCTGGAATGCCCTTTCATCCACTCTTGTCCTCAAGTGGAAGGATGAGAGAGAGAGTGAGAGAGAATAGTGATGCCCATGAAGGACATTAGAGGATACTCTTCATATGGAAAAAATGCTGCCATATGTGCAACGGAATCAGTAGGGAGAATGTGCTGGGTATGAATTAAGCTATAATGTTGATTTAATATTTATAGGATATAAGGCAAAGCATCAGAAGATCCTTGTGTCACTGGGTAAGCATTGCATAGCTATTTTAGAGATGCTGGTTTGTCTGTGTGTTTACTTCAGTATTAAAATAATGAAAAGAACAATTTCTTACAAAACCTCCAAAATGCATTTGAAAAGTCATAAATGCAAAATGTAGACCTTTCCTTAGAGCTGCCTTCCCGTGCCAGTGAATCCAGTGGGAACTCTGTCCTGACTTCTATGGCCCTGAGCTCTGGAAGCAGCCGTTCAGGTGATGCTGCCTGGGTTTTAACTTTCCACAGGCTTTTGGGGAATATCAGACTCCACATTTAATTATGTGCCAGGAGAAGAGAGGATTTAAGAAACTGGGAGGAATAGCAACAGCAAAAAATGGATAAGAAACAAAGAAAGCGTTGCTGTGAAACTACAGAGGCCCCTGCTAGGTACGACGAGTCTGTATTTTCCACTGTGGGTACAATACTGTGTACTTCATCGCTATTATGCAGATGGTACTTACACCAAGCACCTACACTTTAAGGATGTGCTATTCAGAGGCGCTGAATTTCTGCAATCTCCACCTCATTGAGCTGCAGCTACAAGCAGCTAGTTTCCCTGGAAAGCAGGATCACCTAAACGCTTGTTTCCTGTGGGCCCTTTAGCTATTGTAGTGCTAAATGCAGAATTATTCACACAGGCATTTATCCTTCCCTTTTCTTGGAATAAAAGGCACTGAGCTAAATTCTGGGCCAGTGAGAGGAGATGTAAATCCCCTGGCTATAATGGATTTCTGCCACAGGTAAATTTGACTAATTATTTTCATAAAACTGGATGAGGAAAGGATTCACATCTCAACATTTGTTGCTGATTTAGCATGTGGCATAGAAAAAGGACAGGCTGGCTATAAGCTAGACAAAGCTATTAGACATTACCGTTCAGACAACACCTACCTCACTCCAAACCAGCATGGTGCCGAATATGACCTGTAACCCATCAAAGAAATTGTCTCCTATGATGATGACAGTGGCACCTCCTGTAGTCCATCCTTCACTTGGACTGATGGCTTTGATACATGGTGTAGCTGCTTTTCAACACACATGAAAAAGAGAAGTATTCTGCTGTTAGAACCAGATTTTAATGATAAAAGACTTGAGAAAAATAAAATAAAAGGAGCTTTCATTTTCCCCCCTTACTAACACAAAGATTTCAGCAATCACGTTCTTTCTAGTACATGTGCATGACCTCAAACTATATCTTTGGAAGTATTTTTTCTCAATTAATTTCTGTTTGGTTTTGTTATCTGTATTGAAAAAATTAACTTTTTTAAGCCTACATTAACAAAAAAAATCACAGCATGATGGGCAGAGACCAATTGGAAATCAGGACAAAACCCTATTTTTATTCTATATGAAATGCGCAATACTTGAGTTAATAAAACAATCTCCACTGAGCTTCCTTTGTTACCCATCGTAGCCTAAATTCATCAAGGAAACTCCTATAAATGTTATGGAAAATATGGCGAAAATATGGCGAAAATATGGCTAAAAAAAAAAGGGTGTAACCCTCAGCATTTCTTTAACTATTCTGCAATCAGATCCAGGTGGTTCTAGTATTAAACCACCCTGCCCTGCTTAATACTTTGGCTACTACAAAAAAAAATAAACCCCAAAACCAAAACACCCAATCTACAACCCTGTCATCTAAGCCATTCCACTTATGTTGCACCTACAGGATAATTAAGAAGCGGGTGCAAGGCATTCTGCCTTATTCATAGAGTCTGTCCCTGCTTTCTCTAGCCACCTTCCTGGCGTATGTACCAAGTGCCCCCTGAGAGGATGTTAAAAACCCAAGCACTGCTCAAAGTAGTAAGCTGAAATTTTGGTACAAGATCTTCTGGTTTAAGACTGTCTAAGCAGAAGCATGCTCAACTTTAGACATTGGTGGGTAGGGCAATATAAACATCCACATACTGATTCTCCTCCTCTGCAGTGCCAGAGTACATCAGAATGTAACTGTGCCGAAGCAACAGGAATAACATTACTGTAAAAATAACCTCGAAAAGACAAAAAGCCCTGGGTAACTCTCAGCTGTGGAGTCTCAGGGTGGTCATACAGGTTGATGAAAAGAAGCAACTCCATCCCAGATGCCACCAACTTCTTGCCAACACAGCATGAGGTGAAAATATGACACCACACCATTAGATAAAACTTTACTTAAAGTGGGTACTTCAACAATTTCCTTAGCCATGAAAAAGACATTCCTTAACGAGCATCAAAACTCCATCAGTCAACCTCAATATTGAAGAGAAAGAGCCTTTCCTTTAGATATGAACTCAGTCCTCAGCAGAGAGAAGAGGCTGGCTCCACTGAAAACACATGAAGGGCTGCCATTGCCCACACTGATTCTGCAATGTCAATCAGGTGTCAATCAGCAGGACATCATTAGCTGCACACATACATCTCTCCATATACTCCTCCTCTTTTAGGGTTGCTGGCATTTGGCCATGAATTGCTACTTGGTTGAAAGGTTGGCTGAGCTGTTAATTTGGTTTGTAACTTTGAGCATTTGATGATGTAGTCAAGGGAAAGCACTCAGGCAGTTCATCAGGTAAGGATTTACCAGGACGATAGGGGGTGTGAAAGCCACCCTCAAGTTAGCACCATCCAGGACAACGACCTTGCACCCATGAATTAATTCACGTGGCTGTCTAGTGGCACAGCCCCTGGTCTACGTTCTTCTAATCGTAAAGACAGTAAATTCATTCACAGAAGCCTACTTTAAAATGCTCCAGACATAAAGTGCTAAAGAGACCCTGTGCGTCTTAATTTGGTAAAGTTCTGGTGGGTTGGAGCTAATTGCAAGGGTCGGTGAGGCTGGTGAGAAGTCGCTGGGCAGGGCGGGAGGGTGTGGGGCTGGGAGGCAGGAGGGAGCTGGCAAGGGAGCTGTTGAGTCACCCTCAGCAGGGAGGGTTCCTGCGGGCACTGCTACAGGCTCGCACCACCGGTGATGGAGCGCGTGCACGGGGAGCAAACAGACCCCGTCCCTACCTACAGAAGGTTGTGTCAGGCACAAAGTTTTCCACTACTTAAGCTGATGGGGATGCCAGCTTCGGTGAAAAACACAAACACGCAGTCAGAAAAAAATCATTACCCTACTCTAAACTTGGCAGAGCACAGCCGTTAACTTTTACATGAGCTAACAAAAGAAACATCCTAACATTACCGTCATGAAAATGTAGCGCGCACACAGAAGTAACTTCAATATGTTTAATTTGGATTCAAGTTACTTGCATAAAACTGTGCATAAAAAACATTGCAAAGTCCAAAGCCAAATGCTTTCCTTTCAGCCGAGCTCATAGCAATGGATTTACAGTGAAAGCAGCTTTTAAAAATGCCATCTAGCCCTTTCACGGAATCGAACTTTTTCATAAATGAAAATTAAAATCACTTCCAAATTACACCCTTTCCAGTATTTCCAGTTGATTGTGGACACACACACCCACAATAAAACCCAAAGATAATCAGTTTCCCATGTGTCAGAGAATGAGCTACTTTTCTTAAAGACGACAAACATTTTTTTCCTAAATACCAGTGAATAAAAACTGTTTGAGACCATAAGCCATTAACAGAAAACATATGCAGGCTTCAAAATTATAGATTCAATTCATCTTCAAAATGAATGCAAGACACCGTTCCGCAGTTACAGGTCCCCACTAAAGGTCTCGCTCTTTATCTTGTGATGTTCTTTGCGATGCCTACGTTGCACTCAGTAGTGCAAGGTGCTGCACTGCCCGTCCTGCCTCATGAATTTGGTTCTGATACTTTATACATGTATGTGCTTAATAGCAACTACATGCCAAGTCCCACGGCAGCCAGGGGATATTCGAGCAGACACTCACCTCCTTGTGCTGCATCGGGGTTGTGGGTTGTTCACTGGGACACTCTTGCCTGCAAAGTCAATGTGACCACTCACACGTGTAATTTTATTTAAATACATAGCAATTGTGCTGAATCAGTGCTTCACTGAAGCTGCTGGCAATAGCCCAGGACATCTCCGAGGAGGAGGAAAAGTCAGGACTTGCTGGTTTAAGAAGCAGGGCAGGCTGGTAGCCTTTGCAGGCACTACCTGAGAAGCAGCGAGAGCTCTGTGCATTCCTGAAAGATTTCAGGGCATTATTTTCCCTTGGGACCAGTCACAAAAAACAGTGGGACTTCCTAAGTTTCCCCACACAGCTTCTTTTATCCTAAAATGCTAGTGTCTGTAGTGACTGGAAGGGCTGCAAGAAGGTGCTGCCCTGCAAGGGAAGCTGCGCTTGGAGGGCGGAGGAGACGTGCTGAGGGAGGCATCCAGGCTGCTACCTGTTTTTGAAGGCACAAAACATGTTTATACAATGACATATTTGCAACAGCCAGTGTCGTTTGGGACACTGGTCTTACTAAAACTTTGCCCTTCCCAGGCCCTGTCCTTGGAGCACCAGGAGGAGGACGGACCCATTTGCCAGCATCACCACAGGTAACGCTGGGAGTGGGGCAAGGCAATGACTTCAGCTCTATTTATGCCCCTGGTACAAATGTCTGGCCAGCTCAGGCCCTCAGCTCTTCATATTTCTCCTGTTAATCATTTGGCAACTTTTAAAGCCCTGTCTGGAAGGTGTTTACTTCTGTGCAACCCTAGAAAAACAGAGCTAGGCAGAACAATCTTTTCATTGGAGACCTTGATTTTTCTACATTTTGTTTTGATCACAAGAGAAACCAAAGTACAGGACATTTTTCTGCAGAATGCAAAGTTCCAGAATCTCTATCTGGAATTAACTATAACACTTTTTAATATTTCCAAGAAAAACAAAATATTTTGTTTCAAAATACTATCACTTCACATGCCCTTCTGTAACACCAAAGCATCATTTCTAGAATGGTGTTTTTAAAACAAATATTTAAAAGTTACATAAAATTTATGTTTTTCTGTAGAAAAAAGCGATTTTTAGTTGAAGTCTGAAACTGCACTGATAAAAAAAGAAATGCAGTGAAGGACTTTAGACCAGTTCTAATAAAGGCAATGAGGTATACATGATTGATAACATGAATAGACTTCAAGTCCAGAGAAGAATTATAATAAAAAAGAATAATTACACACTCTTACACATATAAACTTTTTTTTTTTTTTTTTAAATGGCTGGCAGCCAACTACAACCAGAACTAAAAGAGTTTGGTAGCCTAACTACCAGATAAGATTTTAAGAGTCCTTGGCGTGAGCGCATTACATTTGCTGCATGCTTTCAGAACAGTCATCAGGCTGAGGAAAAACGAAATATCACCCCTTCCAAGCAGAGGCACGGACCTTGCAGCTCCTTGCTGAAGGTGACGTGGCCACATCCTCCACCTGCCGAAATGGCCTAATGGTTATGAGTCTTAATGAGCCGCTCTCCTTCTTTGCATAATATCAAGGCAAATCAGTGTTAACATCTGACATGTTTCACCGGGCTGCTCCTGCAGCTTGAGCTAACAGATACAGATGTTAGAGGAAGGCACTGCAATCCCAAACTTAGTGAAGCCAATGGGAATTCTGCCACTGCCTTCAAAGCTGAGGTCTCTATCGATAAAGCTGAGGGATTTATGAGCAAAAACCTTAATGACTTTCAAGGGAAACAATGTTCTTTTGAAATCTTCAGCTTTTCTCAGAATATACTCAGAATATATTGTTAAAACCTTACCACCTTCCACGCAAAGGATGGTAGGTGCCAACTTCTGTCTATAGGTAGCAAAAAGGAAAAGTTTTTCGTTGTGTGCTGTGTGTGTGTCAGTGTGTTCCTGTGTTCCCCTACTCCCCTAGCTACTGATATACAGGGGATTTTTCTTCCTTCAAACTGTGACAATAAAATGATTACCCCGCCACAGTTTAGCATAATGGTTCAGAAATGCTCGTGGCATATTGCAGAGTTAAAGTGGAAATTATTAGGTAGCTCTTCTTTGTTATAATAATGATCACTCCACAAATAAAAGCTCTTCTCCCAAAGGTACTGCAAGGCACAAAATGCTAATTCTGAAGATTATGTGTGCGCTTTTATTAAATATTACTATGCCC